AATGGCCCCAAAGCACAAGTGATGCTGACAATTAGGATATTTCAAAGAGAAGTTGCAAAGTGCTTCCTTTAAATGAAAATATATGTGTACATAGGAAAACACATAAGGTTCAGTATTATCCTTTTTTCAGGCATCAACTAGGAGTCTTAGAATGTATCCTCATTGATAAGGGGGGACTACTTTACCACAATTAAATATAAAATAACATAAAAAGAATAAGTGGCATCATATAACACCTTGCTGCTCAAAGTGTGATCTGTGGGCCAGCAGCATTGGCGTCTTCTTAGAAGCTTGTTAGAAGCACAGAATCTCAGGCTCCACCCCAGACCTGCTGTATCAAAACCTGCATTTTTTAATGAGGCCCCCCGCAACCCACCGATGGTCTGTGCACACATTAAACTTCGAGAAGCACTAGTTGTGATGGATTGAATATTAGACCAGAGTTAAAAGACATAGTGAACATGGTCATTGGGTCATTTTCCTACCCAGCACTCACCTCCTCTCCTCCTACTTCTTACAGAACCCAACATTTTCTGAGTGGCCACTTGCTCAGGAAGCCAACCTCATGCCCCACATGGTCCCACTCCCCACTGACTGGTTTATTGGTGGATGTGTTGCCTGGTTCTGGCCAAGGAAACTAAGGGAAGTTCTGCTGAAGAGGTTCTGGGGTTGCTCAAGAAGAAATGGCCTCTCTCTCCTTTGGAAGTTTCCATGCAGGCATCTTGGAAAAGTGGAGCGGCTAGCCTGGTCCTTGATAGCACAGAGCCACCGCTGACAAAGTCCTGTGTCCACCTTACCAGTGGATTTCTGCTTATGTGAGATTAGAAATGTACTGATTGTTTGACTGTGTGAATCAGGATTTCTGTCACATGTAGCCCAGGGTTTCTCTTTTTGGAGCTGGATAATTCTTTGAGAGTGGAGGGCTGTTGTGTTCATTATAGAATGTTTAGCAATGACTCTTACCTCCATCCATTAGATGCCAATCACACTTCCCTGTCCCTCAGTTGTGACAACCCAAAAGTGTCTCCAGACACCTTGCCAAATGTTGGAGGGGGCTGCAATTTGCCCCCAGTTGAGAACCACTGTCACAGACAAAGGCATCCTAAGTAACATGAGGACCTTTTATTCAGTGGGTGCTTAGGAAGGTAAAATCGCTGCCCATACTCCAGAGTGTTTCAAGGATCAAAGTGAAGTCAAGTGTGTGAGAAAAGCAAACACACACAAAGTGCTGCTAATCATTACCTGTCTTTGATGCTGCTGGTGCACTGATAACGATGTTGTAGTTTCCATTTGTTCTTATAATAGGCAGAGATGTTTAACTTAACAGATGGCCAACTTGGATAGTGAATGGAACTTTCTTCAGCAGAGTTGAGGAGCCCTGCCAGCATGCTCGGGCTCTTTCTCCTGCTCAGAAATCCCCATCTCTTACCACCCGCCCTGAGCTGGGCTGCCAATCCTGATTCATTGTTCACAAGGCAATGGGTGCTGCAGAGTTCACCTGTTAAAACATTTTCACAGATTAAGAGAGATCTTCGTATTTAGCCACTGAAGAGACAGATTGATGCCCTCCATACAATAATGTGTTTGCAGCTCACACATCCATGTGTTTGAGACCTGCAGAGTCAGGGGACTCTGGACAACCTCTCTTACCTTATGTTTCCCTTTCTATAATCAGCCAACACTTTGAGATCATTTTCTTTAGGAGCTCCCTGATTCCTAAAATCAGTGCCTTTCGGTTTACTTTCAGTTTAGTTTCATTTAAAGTGTCACAAAACATCTTGGGGCAAGAAGGCTTACAGGGGAAGCGGGACTTAACAGAAAGGACTGGATGAGAATTGAGAGCAAGGGAACAAGAGAGAGGACTAGTGCTGTGAAAGGGAGGCATCCGAAAGCAACGGATGCTTTGGTCATTTATATCATCAAGTGCTTATTATCAAGGTGCAGTACTAGGTGCTGGGGTTGAGGCTGACGTGGGAGCAAAGGGGCCCCACAATCTACTGGGTAATAAGTGGTGGACTCTGGGTTACTCTCCTAACCTCTTGTATTTTGGTATAGGGTAACTAACTCCAGTAACATGGCAATTGCCCTATCCCCACCCCTACAGCCTATGTGCTTTGCAGGTCACGTGTTCACTTTCTGAACTGGAGGTAGGACACTCATCAATCTATAGATAACATTATAGAGCCTGGCATAAAATGACTTGGATTGGAGAAGGCATTTGTTGGTAGTTTCTAGGAAAAACTGTTTTCCTTTCAGGAAAGGGTGTGTGGCTTGCAAAAGCCACGCCAGGCCCTCTGCAGCTATGTTATTTCCACCAGAAGTCAAGCTGAGGATCAAGCCAGTATATAAAGCAAGGCTGGGTCTGCAGAGTTTCAGGGAAATCAAGCTGGAGCTTTGATCAAACCACAAGTGATCCACTTCTGGACTTTTGAGTGGCATATGTTAATAAAACCTCCTACTGTATAAGCCAGTTTGAACTGAATTTTCTGTTGTTTTTATCATAAACTAAGAGGATGTGACAGTGAACAAACTAAATGTAGATTGGCTGAAAAGAGATTTTCATGCAGAGAATAGCAAAGATGTCTTTACTTAAATGAGGAAGTTGGCAATCCTGGTTTAGTAAAATGGCTGCTTATGGTGGACCTGTTGCACCCTGGTATACAGACCTTCTGTGTCTGGAGACATGACGTTTGGAGATCTGATGGGAAATACTCAGGATATTGGCAAGATTTCAGTAAAGTCCTAGAAGAGTCACATTTAGGGGGAAGGTGGCCCATTTGGGAGTGGAGAGGGGAGAAAATACAGCTTTGTTAAGAGAGGGCCTTTTTGCCTGTGGCCTGCAATCTAAAGTGACTAGACATTGATGAGCAGATCCTGTTGGGTTGGAAAAGATCATTTCAGTGGTGGAGACACTGCATGTCAGGGTGTACAGCAGAGGGTATATGGGAAATCTCTGTACTTTCTGCTCAATTTTGCTGTGAATCTAAACCTAAAATTCTAAAATATATAAAGTCTATTAAAACATAAAGTCTATTAAAAAAAGAAAAGTTGGAAGGCATCAACCACATGCCCACTCAGATGTTAACAAGGCAGTGGCCAGGACAGATACACTCAACTCCAGCATCTGGCAAAAGTTAGAACACAGGCAACAAATCAGGTGACTTAGCAAGAGAAAAGATTGGGACCTGAGGAAAACATTGCCCCAGTTCCCAAGTCTCTCCTGAGCATCTCGTTTTAAAGACATCAAGCTTGAAATAGGGAACAATTGACTCATTATGAAGATGCAGCTGGGAGGCAAGGAGCAAATTTGAGGTGCCTCCCCACTTCAGAGATGAAGGAAGATGCCAGTAATCTGAGGAGCCGAGAAATGAGCAATGACAGAGGCCAGTTGCCAGCTCAAGGATTCTGACAAACTTGAACTCCCAGCCCAGAAACTTGAATCGAAGAAACCCATTAAATTCTTAAGGGAGCTGAATTGCCAAAGAAAGTGGTCAGCTATGGCCTGAGGTTGCCCATTTCTCAGGGCAATCCCTGAACATGACCCACAAGCATGATGCTAAAACAGTGACTCTTCTTGGAAGGCATCGACCACATGCCCACTCAGATGCTAACAAGACAGTGGCCAGGACAAATACACCCAAACCCAGAGCTGAGGGCTGCCATCTTGTCTGACCGAGGACCTTGCTTTACCACCAGACAAGTAATCCTCAACAGTGCCTCAATATCGTAGGTACTGTTGACCAATGACAACTGAAGGTGTTTCCCATTCTCCCCTTCTCCAAATGGAGAACTGCACTTCTGGAAATGCTTACTGCAGATATCTGTTTTTTTCCTGGCATTGCTGCCTATGTCGATGGTGGTAAACTTCAGAATTTAGTTCATAGGTTACCATTCCACGAGTAGTTACTTCCAGACATGATGGAGAGTATGATGGCTCTTCCAGAAAATATGAACTTGAAGCTGAATTCAGTAACTGGATGAATCATAGGGCTTCAACCTTTGGGAGATGGAGTGAGTCTATTTTAGCCAAGTGTGAGTATTTCTGATGATTATGAAAGGAAAGGAGAGTATAGATGTTGATTTACCAAAGGGGCAGACCATAATGGAATGTTATGTTTACTGCTCTAACACTTTCTCTGGATAATAATCCTTCAGATGTTCAGATAATTATACATGAATTCACAGCTTGCATGGTTTAGAGAAAGCCAACTCCACTCCTAGGTTTAGGGCTGAGGCATACATAAAGTTGGCACTAAGCTTACACTGGTGACTCAGTGCAAGCTTAGGACCCTTGAGAATGCATGAGGCTCTGCTTGGAACTCCTCAGAGACATATTCTCTCTCCTTTTTTGAGGGATTAAATTTGGGGGAATATGAGTGCTAGAACAGCCATTTCACCACCTGAGGGGAACCAGCTGAGACTGAAGCCAACATAAGAAGGAAAAGTTAAAAAAATCAACTGTAACTTGATTGTCCATTTCTACACTTACCCTTGAGCTTTTGAGTTATATTGTGTCTTCTTTAATATTTGATTTAGTTTATGAGTTTTTCTGTTACTTGCAACCAAACAACCAACTATTATAGAGTATAATAAATGCTGGAATGAAAGTATGAAAAATTATTGGGTAGTTAAGAGAGAAGGTAGGGTAATTAGCTAAGAGAAGCAACATATCTTTAAGCATTTAGGGTGGAAAGAGTTGGAAAGGACCATTGCATTTCTTAGCATTAAGCACATCCTCTTTGTGGAGTTTTCTTGGACTCATCTCTGGCCATCACTACACTTCCCTTAGTCCATCCATATCGGAATGAATGTGTAAAGGCTTTCAGTACTGGGCATTGCACCTGGCGTCTGAAAGTCCCCAATAAATGTTGGAAGGTGAAAGGAAGCCTTTCACCTGTCACTCCCAGTCCTTCAGTCAGCTGAGGGAGTTCCCCAATTTCCACTGACACTGTAAGCAGCCAGCCTCTCCTAACCCTTTTCCTCCCCACTGTGGTTGCAGAAGATGGATCACATGTCTCCCAGGCTGAGAGCCTTCCTCTCTGAACCCATAGGAGAAAAGGATGTTGTCTGGGTAGATGGGATCAGCCATGAACTTGCGATCAATTTGGTCACTAAAGGTTTCAACAAGGTAATTCCTTTTTCCTTTTTTTTCCAACTTCTCTTACCAACCTCTCTTCCTCTAGTCCTGCCAGATGGCAACTGCTGCCACGTGTTCCTACAAGTGGCCATCAGAGAGCAAAGCTGCCATTTGGCAGGGCGCCACATGCTTCTGTGCTCCTGACCCCACATGTTTGGGCAGCCTCAAGGGCCAGTGGATGATGGGCAGATTGAATCACTTCACATCAGAGCAGCTGGGCCAGGCATTATTCACTTGGTGTACAAACACCCAGCGGTCGACAGAAGTGAGCCAGCAGCCCAAATCTGGAGCTGAGCTGTCAGGATGGGTGATTTGGTTGCACTCCCAACCCCCATGAAGAGATCTGTGGGGTCTCACTTGCTCCATCAGAGCACCAGCCTGAGGATGGCAGGTGGAATAACAGTAGCCTGAGGTCTACATCAGAGTAGGAGGATGTGAGTTGTTCTGAGATGTCACTAGCAGCCCAACAATGGCCTCAAGGATTTCTAATGGAATCTAAGCATTCTTTTCTATGTTATTGTTTTTATGGTACTATTATAAAGCTGCTTGGAGCTTTAGAAGAGAATCAGAGATGGTCCTAAAGAGTACCCAAGGAAGCTGAGCACAACAGAAGCAGGTGGGAATTCACACAGAGCCTTGCACACTGTTAAGAGAGAGGCAGCAACAGCAGAACCATTGCTGCTCACTCCCTTCAGTTTTCAACATCAGTTTATACCATCAGGAAGGAAGATGTTGCAGAAGCACCTAAAGAGGCTGGGAAACGGCATTTGCATGGCTGATAATCAGTTTGGTTTGCTCCAGCACAGTGCACGGCTGTTTCCGAGGAGCATCTGAACTACTGGGCCTGTGGTTTTCTGACTGACATGCTGCTTTGCACCAGATGTTAAATATTCTGATTATTGCCCCAACCTACCAGCCAATTTAATAGCCAATAGGTGGTATTGTCAGAAAGTTGGAGCTCCATGATTAAGGTCCACTTGATTCTTTCCCCTCAGATAAGGGAGATAGGACCACTCCCAAACACGTAGTAAAGTAGGCAAGTCTGACTAGGGGAGACAATTCAAATTAAAACATTTTATAAAAAAGAAGTGATTGTCCCTTTTACTTTTCTATCATGGTATAGCATACTTGCACTGATACAAACTGTTCAGCTCAATGAATTTGGACAGATTTTATACACACACACACACACACACACACACACACACACACACCCATGGACCCACTCACTACATGGATCCTGTGATCAGACACCTCTAGAATTTTCCAGATGATTCTCTTGTGCCTCTTCCAAATCAATGCTATCCCCCACTCACAGAGATAACTAGTATTCTGGCTTCTACCACCACTGATTTAATATTTCCATAATAATGAGGTTCTGTTGTTGTTCAGTCACACTCGTCATTTAAAAACTATTTTTATTTACATATAGTAAAATTTTCACCTATTTTAGTACACAGTCCTGTGAGTTTTGCCAGATGCATGCACTCATGTAGCCACTCCCACAATCAAGACATAAAACAGTTTTGTCACTCCAAAATGTCTCCCTTTGACCTTCATATTCCCCACCCTCAGTCCCCAGGAACCATTGATTTGTTTTCTGTCCCTATGGTTTTGCTTTTTCCAGCTTAACTGTGTTTTTAATGAGGATTGCAGGTGGGGTGATAGGCATATTTAAGACAAAGGCACGAATGAACGAGAAATTCTCAGGCATCCAAGAACTTGCTATGCAGAGTCAGAGCTGTAGTCATGACAGATTCCTTGGCCTTGTCTCATGGGCACTGACTCTTTCCTCACCCTTTCTGAGGACCTGTTGGGACACAGACCATGAGGGTGCCCTCAGCCCTACTTGCCTGGGCTTTTCTCTTAGCCACTATCACTCTCCCAAGACACTGGACATTGGAGCCCCAGACCCCACGCTATGAATTCACCCAAGTCTCTTCAGAAGCCCAAAAGTCAAACATTTGGCTGCATTCTGTCTGAGTGATTTCATGCTTGCCTTTCCATGGAGCAGTCAGCTTCAGCCTGAGGATCTAGCTCTCTGCCATCCAACACAGTGGCACTGGCCCCTGTACCAGTGAGCATCTGTCTGAATTGAGATGTGCTAAAAATAAAAATACACACTGGAGTTATTCCAATAGGTAGAAGTAAGTTTAACATCCTAAAGAATCTGATTTGGCTCAGTGCTCTTTGAAGACACTGTAAAACTATATTCTTGAGCCTAAGTCTTCTTCCTGAAAGACGTTTGGAAGATCAGAGTGGAGTAAATGTTCTGGGTGCCACCAGCTCCTCAAATCTCTCCTAATAAGAGGACTAGCACATGATGTTTGCTACATGTCAGGCACTGTTCTAAGAGCATCACATATATTTATTTTGTTTTATCATTTAAAAAATTCTATAAGGTATACTGTTTATCTCCATTTTACCAATGGGGAAACTGAGGCACAGAGCAGCCACATGACTCACTCAAAGTCACTCAGAGTGGGAGAGATGAAATTTGAATCTGAGAAGACAGGCACTAGGGCAGGCAGTCACATAAGTTTGGGGTTACTCTGCATAGGGTTGCCAGATAAAATACAGGAACCTAGTAAAATTTCAAGTAAATGAATAATTTCTTTTAGTATAAGTTTGCCCCAGGGAGACAGAGAAGAGAGAACAGAAGGGACAAGCCCTGCACTGGATTAAGCATTCACACTAAAGACAAGGAGTTTTAAACTGGAAATGACTGAGTGATATGGATTTGTCAGGTTATCATTGGCTATCAGTGGCCATGACGGTTTTAGAGCCAACAACCAATTAGAGAAAAAGAAAGTTATTCATCACTCAGTGAAGTCTAGTGACAATATAAAGTGCACTATAGGTGCCAAGGAGCCAGAAGCTTTGGAAGAGGACTGTAGAAGGTTGAGAAGGAGAAGGCTGAGACTCCATATCTCTGTTTGAAAAGGCCAGGTGTCATAGGGAAGACTGAAAATTTTAATTAGTGTGGAGGAGGATTGGTTACTAATTTGCAGGGCCCAGTACAAAATGAAGATGTGTGGCCTCTTGTTCAAATTTATTAAGAATTTCAAGATGGCAGCAGCAGGGCATTAAACCAAGTGGGGCTTTCTGAGCACAGGGCCCCGTGTGACTGCATGGGTCACACATAATGGAACCAACCCTGGTGCAGAAGCAAATGTTGCTACTGTTTAGCAAGAAATTGGACATGGCAAACTGGAGGATGGTCCAGACCTGCTCACTGTTTGGACTTGGAGTTGAGGGGAAGTCTGCCCTTGGATTACCATCCTGCCATGTGGTCATGGCTGCCATAGGAAAGAATGAACATCCCTGGCTTCGAGATGGCCACTGTTCAGGGTGATGAGATTTCTGTGTGTCTACATCACCTTCCCTACAGCCAGATTTTTCTGAGCTTTGGCCCAAGGAGGGAGAAGGGCAGTTTCTGTTTTCTAGGATTAGGGGCAGGCTTTCTGGAGCCAACAGAGAAACTGAGCAGGCTTCCAGCAGGGCCACTTCCAGTCATGGGAGTCCATGACTCCGGTTCCCCTTGGGAGCAGTGTAAAGCAGGCTAACTCTCACCCCACCACTCCACCCCTGCCGCCCAGGGAGGTTGTTGGGTGAGACCAGAGAGGAAGCAGAGAAGGGAGCGTCAGATTGCAACTTGGCTCTGGAGACTGCAAGATGAGGCCCTTCTTCCTGCAGCATTCCTGGAAAGTTTGCCTCTGGCCCTGCGTGCCATACATTCCCTGGTTTCCTGGCTGCTGAGCCTGGTGGTGACATGGAGGCTCTAATTACCAGACCATCAGATGCCAGCAGCGGCCTCCAAAATGGCAGAGGACTCCATAGATGCCAGACCAGACAGTGGGTGGTTGGGATATACGAGAATGGGGCTGAGGAAAACAGGAGTCTTAATCTTCCAGTTCTTAGTGACTATATCTGGAAAATGGGACGGGGTACATGTGAGGATCAGATAGATTAAAACGTGCAAAGGTCCTGGAGCTCATCAAAGGTACTCAGAAATGCTACTTGCTGTTATAATCATCAGGAGCAGCATCATCAGCATCATCATTAATGTTCTCTCTCCTTGGGAAAAGCTCTCTGTTTCTTAATTCTGTTACCTTCCACACCTACTGTAGCAATTGGCTCAATATTCCATAAATGTTAATTTTTTTAAATGTCCAATTACGAAACATCTTAGTAAAATCCGTCAGTGAAAATTCAAGAATACTTAAAAGTAAAATGAGATCATTCTAAACAACTATACTGCTTTTTTAAAAGAAAAAAATAGCAGTTTAAAATGACCATGAAATCTTGGCTTTTTCTCTTTTCAAAATCTGGACAATGACTCGAAATAAAAAATAAAATAAAATAAAATAAAAAAACTCCAATGCTTGGGTATATTTTATGACTGGGATTTAGCTTTTATTTAATTTCTTTTTTTAAAAAAATATGTTCCCTTTGGTCAAGATGAAGTTTGCTTTGTGTATGGAACTGAAAGTAAACAGACACCAGCAAGTTTTCCTGGAGATGGCCCAGAACTCAAGGTGTGGACACTGGTCTTGTTCATTCCAGGGGAGAGCACCAATTACAAAACATCTTAGTAAAATCCGTCAGTGAAAATTCAAGAATACTTAAAAGTAAAATGAGATCATTCTAAACAACTATACTGCTTTTTTAAAAGAAAAAAATAGCAGTTTAAAATGACCATGAAATCTTGGCTTTTTCTCTTTTCAAAATCTGGACAATGACTCGAAATAAAAAAATAAAATAAAATAAAAAAACTCCAATGCTTGGGTATATTTTATGACTGGGATTTAGCTTTTATTTAATTTCTTTTTTTAAAAAAATATGCTCCCTTTGGTCAAGATGAAGTTTGCTTTGTTTATGGAACTGAAAGTAAACAGACACCAGCAAGTTTTCCTGGAGATGGCCCAGAACTCAAGGTGTGGACACTGGTCTTGTTCATTCCAGGCTGGAGAGCACCCAAACTGCCCCAAGAGACTGGCATTTAATGTTACCTTAAATCTTCTGGCTTCACTCTTTGGTGACTTGGCCAATCTATGCTCATACAATCTTGGATGTCCCTCTCTCCACGCGGTCCTTGCTCTCCCCATCAGTAAGACTGTGATTAAAATGGTAAAAAAGGGGATGAAACATTGTGGGGGAAAGTAGTGAGAAAGCTAGGAATGCCATAGACTAGGAATCATGGAATCTTTATTTTACATGTGTTTTCATCCATAAAGACTCTTCAAAAAGGAAAGATGGGCAAGGTTTAGTGTGTTTTAAACCCTTTGCTCCTCCCACAGGGCTACATATTCCAGGATGAAAAAAGAGCTTGCACTATTCTAATGCTCTCACATTGAACTCAATTTAATTTGCAGGAGGGGACAGGGCATATGGTGTGCCTTTGAAAAATGCAGAAACTAAGGCCTTGGTTCTGTAGGGTCTCACTTCAGGTTAAGTGAGTTGCCTGAAATCATACAATTGGTTTGCAGAAGTAAATCGATGTTAAGATGCCCTTTATCTGCCAGGCCCCCATGTAGTGGCTCTGAATCAAAGAAGATTTTGTCCTTGAGGGGACATTTGTCAATGTTTGGAGATGGTTATGAGGGTCACAATTCAGGGGCAGGAGTCAGTCAGTATGCTGCTGGCATCTAGTGGGTAGAGGCCAGGGATGCTGCTAAACTTCCTACAGGGCATAGGATGACCACCCTCCGACCCCCACAAAGCACAAGTATCCAAAACATCAACAGTGGCCAAGGGTTAGAAACCATTTGCTAGAATGATTGAAAAAGTGGTACGGTGGGGAGCGTCTCTAAATCCGTGTATGTGTGCATGAGCTCATGTGTGTGTTAAAGAGAAAAACACTAGATCAGAGGACTGAAGAGAGCATGAGAGGTCTGCTAGGCTCTCACTCCTCAAAATGTTGCTCCTCAAAGCATGCTCAGGAGTGTGTTAGAAATGCAGGCTCTCAGGCCCCACCCCAGATTTACTGAATCAGAACCTGCCTTTTAACAGGACCCCAGGCGATTCATGTGCTCATTAAAGTTGAGAAGGGCTTTCATTCATCCCAGACTGGATAGCCCCCAACCCTGCCCCCAGGACTGGGTATTTACCTTGGCCTTATATCTCACCCCAGGGCCTGTCCTGAATCCCTATCACCCAGTCAGGGTTTCAGGGACTGCCAGTCTCCTTCTAGTCTGACCTGTGCCCCCTCCTTTGATTTTCACATGGTCTTCATGTTGGGGAAGGAAGAGCACATCTGAGTCAGCTTATTATAACCTTTCCCGTTTTCCTCCCCGCCTCGTCCTCTTCCCACAGGCCTACATCCTGTTGGGACAGTTCCTTCTGATGCACAAGAATGAAGCAGAGTTTCAGAGATGGCTCATTTGTTGTTGTGGCGCCACGGAGTATGAGGCCCAGGAGAGTTCTAACTGCCTGAAGCAGTGGTGCTCCTGCTTCCTATAAACTCGCCTCCTTGCTCTGCCTCCTGGATAAATGACACATTCTATATAAACTGAGACCCTGGCTCAGAGTCATTATTTCTGTTTTTAACTTTAGTGATACATGCTCATTACAAAAAGTAGTTTGAGAATATAAAAAAGGATAAACACAAAAAAAATGACTTCAAAGTCTACCACCCAGAAGCAGCTATCATTCCCCTTATGTAAATATCAGGCCAAATATCTCAGCATAAATTTATATGAAAGAATGGACAATTTCATTTAAAAATAGGTATTAAATTTTAAATCAGTGTACTAGTTATCTATTGCTGCATAACAAATGAACCCAAAATGTAGCAGCTTAAACAGTAATTTTATGTCACACAGTTTCTGAGGTTCAAGAATTAGCCAACAAAGGTTGATTTCTTTCTCATACTACATGTGCAGTACATGTACTCAGGTGAATACTGTTTGTTGTAGTCATGCTGAAACTTACGCTGATGGAGAGTCCCTCTCCATATGCTCTTCCATGAGTATCACGCAATGAGAACGAGCCGTGGTGAATTACACACTGTCATTCAAAGTCTCTTCCCAGAATGGTACCCTCCACTTATGTTTGAATTTCATTAACCAGAGCAAGTCACGTGGTCATACCTAACTCCAAAGTGGCAAGGATCCTACCGAACTAAGAAAAAATGGAAATATTTGGTGACAGCTCTAATTGATTAAATTCATTATTTTTTCCCTGAATACCTCACAGCTGCTGTATTTCCTAAATTTGTAAAGTGACTGGGATATTTTTATTGGGGTCTACTTAACTGTTTCTAGCTTTGCTTCTTTAGCTCGCCCCACAAAAAAGTCCAAAGAGAAGAATTCCAAGTGAGCCCACTGGTTGGCCCAAAGGTTTGAATCGCTCCATCTCCTGAAAGTGCAGGTTCTGACCGTCCTGAGCCTCTTCCCTGCTCCCACCTACACAGATTAATTCAGTGCATTAATTCTCCACTGACACAATCATGGTATTTAGAAGTCACTCATTTTCTAAGACAGGAGCCGGTTGGCTCTAGGGAAAGGAGAGAGGGAAGTAGCTTTCTTTCTTTTTCACTCTATTTCCATACACCCTGTTCACAAAATCTTCCCTGCAGACACTGGGAATGTTTCCCTTCTGCTGTTCATTCCTTTATGTTGATTTTTGTCTTTCTCATAGGTAAAATTATTGGCTTCATTTCATCATGTCTTGTTGTATTCCCCACCTTTGTTGTGGGATTTTGCAGTCCTTCTCACTACAGGTCGAGTAACTCTCAGCCCCTTGAGAGAGACTTGGCCAGTGGTGGCAACCTGAAATGACAGCATTTCAGTCCTGGGCTTCACTAGGCATTTCCACATGCTCTCCTGTGCCTCTGCCAGCACTGAGAGAAAAGATATTCCCTTGGATAATTGCTGTCCTAACAGCCTAGGCCCCAGGATGAGCCCAGTTGGAGCCGACCTGGCCCCAGCCTGCAGCAAGAACTCAAGGCCAGCCAGACCTGCAGTTTGACACAAAGCTGCCCCACTGAGCCCGGCCAGGATCAGCTGACACAGTGAGAATAAAGGATTGCTATTCAAAGCCACTAATGTTTGGGACAGTTCTCTATGCAGCAGTATCTAACTGATAAATTCCTTCTATTCTAAAATGTCCTTACCCTGCCAAGGGGTACTGCATTAAAGTCCAACCAAACCTTTAGATGGAATAGCAGGTTAGGTGGGAGGAGAAACATTACCTCTGGAGACAGCCAGGCATGGGTGTGAATTCTAGCTCAGCCAATGCCATCTTATCCTGGATGAACTACTTAAACTCACTGAGCCTCGGTTTCTTCATCTGTAAAGTGGGCGCAGAAAGGTAATTACCTTGACTTGAAGGGTAGATTAATTGAAACCATATGTGTTAGGTATATATATGGTGCATAGCAGGAATACTGTCTTTGTTCTCGAGCTTTCCTAAAATCTAGCCTCTTGAGTACTTGGACATCATGTGGCCCTTAGGAGAGATTTCACAGCTGTGAGATGAAAAAAAGCCCAGCTATCAGTTCACCCAAGCTAGTCCAGTTCTGCCCCATGCATGAGTACTGGACAGTGTACAACTGGTAGGGACCACACACTCTTCAGTGAGTAGGTAGGAAAGAACAACAGATAAAATTCAGATTTTGACTGGAATCTTGTAGAGTCACATTAACCCATGGAGCCCCAAAAGCATTTTCAAGGACACTCAGGAAGAGCAGATTTGCCTGTGTGTCCTTAGCCTGATCAAAGGCTCATCTTCTACTCTGCAGGGCAGTTTCAACGAATTGGGAGTGAGTTGTTGCCTGAGAACATTTACAAATTGTCATAGATTTGACCAGCATCTTAAAGAGGAACTGAACTATCTGTAAGGAAGAAAGGCCAGACATTAATTCTTGACTTAATATCTGTAGTTTGGAAATATTTATAAATCAATAAATAATTTTGGTTAGTATTTATGGAGTGTCTAAGGTTCTGAGCATAGTTAGGTGATGTGGAAAAAGCAAGAGAAATAAGTACAAGTTTCTCTATCTTCAAGGAGCTTACAATTTAATAAGAAGTGATTGGGAAAGGGGAGGGCCAAGGTGTTAAGGGGTGTATTTTAGTTTGAGCCACCCAGAAGCAGAACCTGAGACATGGTCAGAGAGAAAGTAGTATATTCAGGAGTGTTCCCAGAAAACGCCAGCAGAGGAGGAAAGACTGCGGTAGGGAAGGGAAAGCAGCCAATAGTGGTGTGCCATCACTATTTATCACTGTGGGCAACTGGAGCTCAGTTTTGTCAGGGAGCTATAGGAGCCAGTGTAGACAGGCACTTAGTTACCCCACCCTAGGGTATCTGAACACCACTCTTATCAGTCATTTGTTGAGTGCTGCTTCCACAGGAAGTTAATCCCTCAATGCTTGAGCCTACCACAGGAGAATGAACCTCACTGAGAAAGTGGTCAGGCAAAGAAATGCAGGCACTGCCAGCTGGGAGTCTAGCCAGGCGCCTGCACTGAAGTGGTAAGGGTGAGGGCACATGAGCGGGCAGGGCACCTACAGCTTCTGCCACGAGGTGGGTTTTGGAGCAGGACAGGCTTGGCTTTGGAAACAGAAACCACCGGTTCTGAGACCTTTAGAAAGTCACCTTCTTGGCCAAGCTGCTCATCTGTAAAATAATGATGATAATAGTATCTATTATCAAGCATTAGGAAGATTAAAATTCTTGATATCTGCCAAAAGCTTCATGTGTGGGTAGCTCTAAAAACCTAGGTGTAACAATGTGTGGCACTAATTGCGTATTAGTATTTAAAGAAGGAAAGGTGAGCATGGGTGAGAGTGGTCAGGGAAGGCTCCTAGGAAGAGGTGACATTTTAGCTTGGTGTTAAAGGGGGAAGTCAGGGATGAATAAGCCAAGAATGGAGAAGAGGAAGGGAAAGAAGAAGGGGGATAGAGAGGGAAGGAGAAAAGGAGCTATGAGGGGAAAGATAAACCCAGGTAAGAAATGGGACTGTAATCTGTAGGGTAAGAGGCTTCCTCCCATTTTCCCTAGACTGAAGCTGATCCATGAGATGGTAGCTGGCCCTGTTTAAGAAGACAGCTACTTTGGGGTCTCTGTCCTGAGGAATGTTAGCAGTCTTCAGCAGTCAGCAGGACCCCATCCATGGTGATAATCCAGAATAGGGAGGCCATGCTCCCCATACCTGAGAAAGACCGTGCAGTAACTGATTCTAAAAATACCCATAACTCTTCAGTCTTCCTTGCATCTACACCCTTCACATGACTTCAAAGCTCTTCTGCCAAGAGGCAGAGTCTATCTCCCTTCCTATTTAATCTTAACTAACCTTGTGAATTGCATTGGCCTAAAAAAATATGGCAGATTTGACACCATGACAGTTGTGAGCCTAGACTTTTGCTTGCTCTCCTGTACCCTGTGACTACCATACAAACAAACCTGGGCTAGCTTGTGGGAGGATGAGAGACATATGGCCCAGTTGTCCCTATTGCCTTAGCCAACAGCCAGCCAACCTCCAGACAAGTGAGTGAGGCCTTCCTGGACCAGCCATCTCATCAGCTGACCTCACATCTGTGAGTGAGTCAAGCTAAGATCAGCCATAGCTGGCCCAGACCAGAAAAAACACCCAACCAACTCACAAACTCATAAATATATCTTATTATTTTAAGCTACTGTATTTGAGAGGCAGTTTGTTATGCGGGTATAGCTAACTGATAGAATTCCCTATGTGAGGCTTCAGAGTATGGAATATCTCCAGGTGTAGAATAGGAGCCTCCTACTTATTTTTTAGAAAGAATCCTAATAAAATAAAATAAGTAAAAATCCTGAGTGATATTTACATATATGGTGGTAATAAGTGGGATCACCATGGCTCATACACAAAAACCAAGCAACTGTTGTGGAGGCTGAGTGGGGAGAATAATGGAAGTGAAGCTTCAGAGTATTCCTTAAAAGTGTCACTCAAAGTGAAAAAAAGTAGGACAAAACTATGACAATCTCAGAGGGCAAGATAAGAGTTATCAAACATGTGATCAATTGTAGGTGGCCTGGGTGATTTGTTCCTGGAAACCTCAGAAAGAAAGCTGACTCATGCAGGTAAACCTTTTAACAAGTGTTTCTGGAAATAATGGAAATTTCATATATATATGAAATTTTTTTAATGTTTGCTGCTCTAAATCTTTATAAACAGAAATATGGGCAGTTGATTCAACACATACTACACCAGACACTTTAGCATTCTCTGAATCCTCACAGGAGTGAAATGGGGGGTATTTTCTCTGTCTTACAGGTAGAAAACTGAGGACCAAAGAGGTTAAGTAATGTGGTCACAATGATTTGGCAAGTCATTTCAACCCAGATCTGCCTGATGCTGAAGCTGTGCCCACTGCCTGCAGAGCCACCCTCAGTGGAAGTGTAGTGGTTATATTTGGTGATTTAGAGGTACTCTCAGAGACTCAAAAATCAGAAACAGACATGCATTAAAAAAGATGAGCGAGTTTCATTAGAATGGTCATGGAAA